GCCCCCGGGGCCGGCGGTGGCCCGGGGCAGCCTGCTCTTCCCCGTGTGCTCATGGGGAAAAATCAAAAGTCGTTCTGGAAACAGAAAGTTCTCCTGGCATATGCAAAGTGAGGAGGAAGCAGTCTGAGACAAGCTAGCGGATCGGGAAGAAAAAACCCAGCCTAGGATGGGAAAGCAAGGTTTTGAGTAGCAATAAGGAGCAGGGAGCAGGTGAAGAAACAGCGCTGCATGGTGGTTTTGCTTTTGGTTTAGGTGTGTTCATTACCAGTAGGAGATCCTGAAAATATCGTTGCTGTAAGTGACAAGAACAAAACTCTGGTAGCATCTCACAGAACCAGAGGTTGACCTAAACCAGGCTTTGGATAGCTCTGGCATTTGGGAGTTTGTAGCCTTTGCCTTTATCTTCTCTCAGACATTCTTAGACTGGCAAGGATTAACAGAGGTCCTCAGCCTTGGCTTGGGCTATTTAGATTCCTTTAGCAATTCTGAAGTGAAAAGCAGGCCCTCAGACCACTGGTTTGCATTGTTTAAGAGCTAAAGTATTTTCATTTTAAGGTTGCAGTTGGAAGGGATTAAGCAAGCTTTGTGTTTGAGTTCAGTCTGATGATGTATTCAGAGTGATGATGTGATGAAGAGTTTTGGGGACAATTTGTTGCTTTATCTCTGAATGTAGGAATTAGGACGGGCCATTCTGAAACGGATGATTTAGCAAGACTTAATGATCATTGCCCCATGTAATAGAGGCTCAAGTTTAAGTGCTGCCCTGCAATCCTTTAAGAGCTTCTACCTTCTCCCACTAGGTCTGCTGCCTTAAGTTGAGGTCTCTGACACTGTCTTCCCTTTTGTTACTTTCTCCATTCTTCCCTTTGACTCAGATTACTTGTATTATTTTCATGCTTGATTTTTTTTTTCCCTGCTTCCTTTCTAGTGCTTTGCTAACAGGAATAAATCAAAGTAGATGGTTGTACATAAGGCCCTTCAGTGGGCAGACGTACGTAAGTGAGGTTATGAATACTTCAGATTTGTGTTATTAACAACAGGCTCCCTGTTATCATGGACTTAGCCCTGTCCTGCTGATTACTCTTGTCCCTGCTCTGTGCTCTTTAATTTTTTATGCTCATCTTGTGGAATCAACTGTGCAATACTTTTTAAAACAAGAATTTTAAACTTTAACCTAAGTGTAGCACACTTGAATGAACCCCGCTTAATTTCTCTGGAGACTTATGTCATCACTTATTCAAAAAGGCACAGTACAGGCAACATACAGCTTCAAATACAGGATTACAGGACTATTATTCTTGTCTATTACATCCCAGTTTGCAAAGAAAGAGTAAAGATGCAAAGAAGAGAAAAAATGGGGAGGGGTCGGAAAGCTGAGAGAAAACCCTTCTCCGCACTCCTTTAAGAGACTGTGGATGTTGTTTCTGGTGGCCTAATAACAATGGTTTTGTCCTCAGAGTGTTTTTGTTGCAGAGGTGTCTTCAGGTGGGAGACAGCTGAAAGAGAATGGGAAGCTGCTGATGTGGGATTTTCTTGGAAAAAAGAATCTAGCATGGGGGAATTATTTCTTTCCTCTCTTCAAAAGACTAGATATGAGGAGAGACTAAAAGAGAATGGAGAAAAAGCTGATGGAAATGATCAAGGGAAGGGAGTTGAGGTGGGACAGATTTGTGTGATTCATATAGAGAAACATGATTTATTTTATTTTTACAGTTAATAGGCAATTTTTGCTAGATGAATTGTAACAATGTTCATACAGTGTTTTAAATCGGGTGAGAAATTTTCATGAGAAACTTCCAGGTTGCTTCCTCAATGTGTTTAAGTGGTGTCTTACCTTGTGTTTGTGTAGAAGTCAGACATCTGAGTGGCATCTGCTAATAAACTAGCCATGGTAAATTGTGGTTCACTGTAGGTAGTTTTGTAGTCCATATTGCTGTCTGTAGTGTCCTAGTTAGGCTGCTAATTGTACCTGAATTAGTGTAGACATTCTTTATATGCAGGATTATGTACTAAGAATTAGACTGATTTTGTTTGCCTTAATTCTGGGATAGCTTGCAGTACTCAGTCACCTTAGAGTTGGGGCTCTGTTATGTTTCCCTTTGCAGGAAAGCCCGTCTGTCTATGTGTGCCCACTCTTCCTTGGGAGATGTCCAATGTTTCCAGTTACGCCCTTCGAATGGCCCGGCTGAGCGCTCAGATATTTGGAGAAGTTGTCAGGCCAACTGACTCAAAATCTATGAAAGTAATGAAGTTGTTCAGCGAGCAGCCTTTGGCCAAGCAGAAGGAGGTCTACAGCTGGTATCCTCCTCACAACACCTACTATGCCCTCATGAAGAAACTCCGTTACTTTGGTCTCTACAGGTAATGTCTGTGCTTACAGGGTGGGAGCAGGACTGGAGGTGGGAAAGGAGTGGGTGTGAGTTTTGTTACAGGTTTTTTTTTCCTCAAGGAAAAGAGAAGCATAGAAAAAGGTTTAGTTCAGAATATGGTGCATATGGAAATATGCACTTGATTGTTGCACTGAGAGCAAGGAGAGTAAAGTGAGTGACTACTGTCTAAGTAACTTTTACCATAATTAGCACCTTTTGTGAGAAAGGCTTTAGGTGTAGTTATGGGCAACCACTTATATAAGAAATAGTCCTTGCTTTGGCTTTGTGGGGAAGGGAAGAGAGCTTTCTCAGAGAGAAGAGATGGGTCTGTAGTTCTGAATATGGCAAATGAATGTGCTACAAAAAGGTGATGTTACCATAACACAAAAATTGCACTAAGACAGTATTACCATATATTCTTCAATCATTCGACAGCTAATAAGTGCAATTTAGAAGAGAAGGAAGGTCTGTGTTAGGCTGGAGGGGCTTTTTACCCTTTGAAATAAATTAAGTTAAATTCAAATGTGGTTTAAATAGCCTTGTTAATTCCAGCTTCATCCAAACCAGTTGTCTGCTTTCTAAATGAATTTCCATAGTCTCGAGTAGGAAAAACTGCACTGCTAAAGAACATTAGCAGGAGTCAAATGCAATCCTTTGACTTCAGTCAGGTAGTACTGAAGAAATGCCTTAGAAGTGAGGCTGCTAACCCTGTAAAGTCAAAACAGATTAATTCCTATTGCTAGTATCACAATACTAGCCATCGAGGATTGCATCCAGGATGCTCTTGGTTTAGCTGGGCATGCAAACACTTTTTAGAATAGCTGTTTGTTGACACAGAAAGCCTCAGTGACATGATAATGCTCTTTATTCTTCTTCCCCTCCTAATCTCAAGTTCCTTCTCTAGCTGCTCTGTATACAGAGAGGTTGTAGAGGGTCAGGGTTGCTGGTCAGAAATATGTGATGAAGAGTTGTAGAGTAAAAGGGCCTGATAATAACTCACAAACTTTTTGTATCTTTTTTTAGAAAAGTTGTATTTAAAAATAGCAGCGCAGCAATCTTAGGCCACTTAGGATGCAGTTGTGACTTTTGAAAAATACCTTTGCGCTGAAAAATACAGGGACAGAGATTAAATAGAATTTATTAGAACATTATTGAGGATTCATTATCTCTGCCAGCCCCTTCATCCTCCTTCCTGTTTTATTCTCCTATTAAGATTCTACTAGTAGCTGATGCTTTCTTCATAACTCATTCTTGAAGTCACCTGAGAGCAGTGTCATGTACTGTAATTACTGCTCAGCATGCCCCTGTTTTCTTAGATGCTAATGACCTGAACTTAGTATCTAGCACAGAAACACAATGTGCTCTTGCTAGACTGCTGAGCTAGATGAGAAGGGGGAAATTCTCATTCTTGTCTCTTGCTGATTTTTATATTTTACTGCTCATTTAAACACAGTGGATTGATAAATGCAATGGAAATAATATATATATCCACACACCATTTGTTGCTGAAAAGGGCAACCTTGTTACCTCTGAAAGTACCAGAGGAAATCTTTCATGTTATTCCATCCAAAATTACTGCTAGCAGTAACACTGAATACATTGCAGTGAGTTTCAGTATCGACTTCACTGTTAAAGTTTTGAGGGTGGAGGGTTTTTTGTTATCATACAGTTCAAAGAACTTTTCACATCTAGGTATTCCAAGAAATAGAGTAAACTTTCTTCTTTCCTCCCCCATCTAGGGATGAGCATCAGGACTTTAAGGAGGAAATGAGGCGATTGAAAAAGCTCCGTGGGAAGGAAAAACCAAAGAAGGGGGAAGGAAAGAGAGCTCTCAAGAAGAAATAGTGCCACTTGAACAATATAATGAACTACTCTGGAAATGCTGGAGCACAGCTGTAACCCAGGCTTTCTGTTCCCAGCTGGAGAGGGCTTGGCATATGAGCTGCGTGTGGGGCACAAGAAACACACTGTGAAATACTGGAGTCCACCTTGAGAGTGCACTTGGGTCTTCGTGGTTTTATTGGTTTTGAATTTCTGTAGTTTAAATATACTGTATATTGGAGCACATTAGTTTGTCAGAGCCCTCTCTTACCCAAGTAGTAAAAACAATAGTAAAAAATAAGTGCTCAGTGTTTTTCTTGCAAACACCTGTAGCTGTTTCAGTTTTTCTGGATCTGGAAAATTGTTTGGTTTTCACTGTCTGTTTTACTTTCTTGGATTAGTATCGACACTGTTTTGCATGTTGCCACAAAAAAATAAGGTTTCTTGCTTCTACTGCTGTTTGTCATCTTGCCTGTTATATAACGAGTTTCATTTCAGGTAGCTTTAGCGTTTTGTGGGGCTTTTTAAGTTGCTGTTAGAATCTGTTGTTCTGCATTTTCCACTGGACGATACTTCATGGTCCGTTGCCTGCCCACAGCACTCTCATTGTGCCCTGAATATTTAGATACTGCAACAGAAGAGGCTGAAATACTAAGGTTTTCCCGTGTGAGACCCCCTACTACTGTAATGAAAGGAGGACATGTATGAAGTACTGGTATTCAGTATGTGGTTTTATCGCTAGGCTCCATCAGTGTTGCATACATCTACCATTCTTACCTGTCGGGGAACAGAAAGTAGAGGGTGCAGCTGTGCTGCTCTGCCTGGCCACATGTGCATCTTGCCTGTGTATGTGCCCTGAAATGGCATCTTTTTATTTCCAGATCATGTCAGCTTAGAGCAGAAAGTATTTGCACAGTTAGCTTGATTTTTTTGCATACAGAGGCATTCTGAAGTAAGGAGGAGTACTAACCTACTGACACTTCTTCTAAACCAAGCTTGTTCAAATTTAAGTATATTTGAAGGGATCAGTCCGATCATTGAAATCAATGGATCTACATAAACTTGCAACAGTTCAACAGCTACTTCACCAAGGTTATTCATTGAAGAGGTGCTGATTGTATTAAAGGTGTTTCTGATGAGCTGTGTAGTTCTTGTTCAGTATTCTTACTAAGTGCTACCTGGTTTTCTAAGCTCTAAGAGAAGCTAAATTTAGGAGATCTGCGGTGTTGTGGGAGAAGTGCCTGAGGTCTTACCACAGTCAACAAAATGTTGCGGAAGTTAGTAAAATATGTATCTGCTCTGTACTGTAGCAGTAAGTTTCTCTCTTACTCTAATTTAAATCCTTTTAGTAACTTAAAACGTTTGCTCAACTCTAATGTGCCTATGACATTTTAGTGTTCTATGTGTCGTCTATGGGTTGTGACTTGTTCCGTACTGAAGCACACAGAGCCTGTGATGGGCCCTCGGGGAAGTGCTTGGTTCCTGCGGCACGTGCGTGCAGCCGAGGGGAAGCGGTCTGGTTCCCTTGAATTCCTCTGAAGGAAGGAGAGTGGCATGGACCCATGTACTAGGTAGGAGAGGGAATTGCCTGAGGAGGAAGGCGGCTGCCTGACAGTGTGTTTCTGGCTGTGGCTGTGAGGGGTGAAGTTGCTCAGTTGCTTGCTTTGGTGGAAAGACCAGTTCTGAACCTCTTCAGCAGAATTACTGTGGCAGCCTGGGACAGCTGGTGATTGTACTTAAAACAGCTTTGTCGGCAAGAACTTGATGTCTTCTAAAATTAAACCAAAGATTAATGAAAATGTTTTCCCTGCAATTTAAGATGAAAAATCAACAGCATCATTTTTTGTTCCCCTGAAACACTTAATGCTTTGACAGTATAAACATGCAAGAGAGAGAAAGCGTACATGCATCGGAGAGTGAATTATGGTCCTGCTTCAGTAAAGGAAGTATGCATGGCCTTAAACTTTGTATGTGTGGGCAGACCTGGTTATGAGTATACATACATAGAATGATATATGAAATAGTTATACAGCATGTTTGGCCGTGGTTATGCTTCTGAATCCACATTTAGTCTACTTAAGGACTGAGGATCTACAGAGGCTCCTGAGGGCAGTGAATGCTACAGGTATTCTGTATCTTGGCGTGCCACCTTGCTAGACACAGATACAGACTCAGCAGTGCAATATTAGATAATTAGGCTTGGGGAGCGGATCTGTTCTTCCTTGTCTGCTCCAAGCCATCTAGCTATTTATGGATTTTGAGAAGTTCCTGTCATGAAGAGGAAAGTGAAAGGCTTGTTTGGCTCGTCATCTTTGTCTGGAACCTGCCAGAGCAAACCTGCTCTAGAATCAAAGCATCACCCTGGGAACGTACTGTGGGAAGATACTTCCAGCAGCATATCCAAAAAGGGAGAGAAACTGATGGAACTGCCTGTGAAGTAAGCAGATGTGAAACAAACGGACTGAATTCTTGATTTTCATCTTTTCTCCGTAGTGTTTACAAAAGCAAAGTGGATGGAGCGAAAAAAATGGTAACTCAAGAGCAGTATGAGTACAAGAAATTCCTCTGCCTAATTTTTCATGCTTTCTTCTGTAATACTCATTCACTAGAACTAGGTCTTCTCAAAAATGGCTGTTTCCCCTCCCCGGAGACTTCACCAAAAAATAACAATGATTCAGCCATTATTGGCTTATATCCTAGTATTAGGATAATCCATTGCTCGCTGGGAGTGTTACCGTAACTGTTTTCTTCCAGAAAACACAGCCTTCTCCTCTCCATAGCTGGGATAGAAGTAGGCGCTTTCCTACCTCCCTTCTAACCTGTGCTCTGTCATTTAGGAATCCACGTTTTGTGAATTACAGGGTCTAGACAAACTGGAAGTCAATCCTGAAACATCATGCCAGGTATTAATGCAGTGTGTGTGTTTAGGAGGGGAAGGAGAGTTTCAGCCATATTCTGAGGGGCAGGGATGGGAACACTTAGGCTTTATACAGCTATCGGTATAGTGGTATATCCATTTTATGTACAAATAATCAAGTTCAATTAGATCTTTATTTTTGGCTTTCCCTTTACAATGATTCTTTTCACCATTCAAACTCTGCTGTGTTTTGTCACAAAATTCCCTCTTTTTCCTGAGGGTGCGAGCTGACTGTCCTCAGCAGATGTTGAGATGGATGTTTTAATTCATGATTGGAATAAACCTGGTTAGCTGATCTCCGAACTGAGAGTCAAAACCCTAACCTCTTCCCAATCCTGAGCAGCCTTGTTATTTTACAGTGCTTTAACTATGTCTGTCTTTAATTATACTCTGGGATAATATAGTCATAGCTGCTGAGTACTGCCTTGATAATCACAAGTTATTTTGTAAACAGGCTGAGCCAGTTGCTGTATATATCCTATAGGGAGTGCAGTTATTGCTAGAACCTCTTACTATTGAAAGTCCTGCAGACAGGCAGAAGTTCACTTGCAGATGACCATACTTTGTAATGGTGGAAGGAAAAAAAAAAGCAGTCTTGCTTTCTGGCAAAGGTACCAGTGTGTTAAAATATATGTGCTCTGCTCGTGAAAGTTAAAAAAAGTTTCTCCTAATGTGGAAAGAGTTTATTCTACTTATTAAAGCAATGTGCTGAGTTTACACAGGTCAGCAAAATGCACCTGAGTTACTCTGTGGTGTTAGACAAATGCTTTGTCTTACTTGCCTATGTTTCCTCAAGAGTAAAATTAGAATAATGATCACTTAGTGAATGAATAGTGTCATGAGGGTAAGCTGCTTCTAGGACGGGAATTTACCCCAGGAGAGCCTTGTGTAAAGAGCAGCTTAGTCTGGCTATGGTGGAACTTGTACCTCTGCGTATTTCAGAGCTTTATTTCAGAGAAATGATTGTATGCAACAGTTGATGACATTTTTAACACATAAAATAAGCTGTGTTCACTGTTCTGCTTTAGGTATTAGAGACTTCAAATCCTGAAAAAAATCTTGATTTGGTCAGAAAGTAAAAGTTTAAAAAAAAAATCACAGATATTTCTTAAACTGTAAATATTTTTGATATTTTGAAGTATCTGTGTAGATATTCCTTTGCCACTTTGAGTTTAAAGGCCATTTTAGGATCATTTTAAAAAACAACAATCAACAAAGTCTATATGTTTTGGAAAAGCTTCACAAATATGAAAGGCTGCTTTGATGAGGGAATGACTGTGTTTTGTATGGGGTTTTTTCTTTCTTTTAAAGCACAAAGGATAATATGCAAAGAAAACAAGTGCTATGGGGATCTCAGATTGATTCCTTTAAGCTCAGTTCTCCTCTGTAACTGTTTGATTGTGACACTTCTTGTATGATCCCTTGGGAGTAGATCCTGGAAACAAAATCCTTCAAGAGGACTCTCTCTCTTCATTATCTTGAACAACATCCTTATCATAAATCCTGGTAAGAATTAAATGATGTGTGTGGGTCAGATATTTAGATGGATCTTCCTGTGCTTGCACAGCTGGGGTAGCATGAAGAAAGGCATTTTAGTCTCTTCACTTCTTTCTCCTCTTCACTTTTCCTTGGCCTTTTCCTCAAAGGTAATAATAATGCCTTGAGTATAGAGAGGAACAGACATGAAAACATCTGAAAGAATTTGCTTGTGAAGGCTCAGTCACAGCAGAGCACAGCTGTAGTGTGTCCAAATGGTGAGGAGCACGACTGCAGACAGATGTTAGAGGGACATCGCCACCACACTGGCTGAGAAATGATTTAGGGTTGTCTAAGGGGATAAACATGAAATCGACAGAATAACGATCATGACATCAAAGTGTCTTTATGCGTACTGCGTTGAATTGTTCTGTGTGGAATACTGGGGAAAATTCCACAAAGTTAAATATTTAGAAAAATTGAGAAGGTTCCCAAGAAGTGGGTTTGGCTTCTGTTGTCTGAGTCAGGCAGAGCTAGGCTGAGCCAAGTGGTATAAAACATAGCACAGGGACCACTTCTTTCCTGGAAGAGGAGGAGGCAGACTGGATGACCTCATACACTTTCTCATATCATAGCTAGGTCTGTGAAAACAAATCTCACCAAGAGCTA